GGCACCGCAATCTCTTCTCCTCTTGAGATCTTGGGCACACATACACATGTGCCTGGTGTGAGTTTAAGCCACTGGGTCCGGGACTCAAACTACGGTCCACTACATGGGAGCCCAGCGACATAGCCATTAAGCCAACTGCTGGCCCCAAGAGGTAGGTTTTAAAAAACAGCAACGAGAGTCCAGAATGAGGATTTAGAACAGCTTTAGAAATAAGGGAAATCAAAAAGATTTTTAATCTCTTTGACTCAAAAATTTCCACAACATAAAACCACATTTACTCTTCCATCTATATGGACTTTGTTGAAAATGTGTTATAATTATAAGACTTGGCTACTATAAATATATACTTGGAAACAAACTCAAACCTTCAGAAGGGTCCTGTGCTCTTAGGCTTTCCACAACTTTGTTCCCCAGGGCAGCAACAGCTTCCACTAGATTGAGAATAAAGGAATTGTTATCATCTATTTATGTAGACTTTCTATGTATCTCTAAGCTACTATGCACTCTCATTTCTGCCCCATGTTCATGGCTGAAATAAAGGCAAATAATAGAATAAACATTTTTACAAGGGGAAGCTAAAGGCAGAGAAATAAGGCCCAGGGAACAGGCACCTCCTGTACCCTCCCCTCATCCTTTTGCTACAGTAGGGTCTTCGGGTCTATGGCACAAATGACATTATGGGTTGGAAAATTCTTCATTTGGAGTTGGTGGGGAGAGTATCTATACTGTAGGAGTTTAACAGTATCTCTGGCCTTTTCTCAGCCCATTAAAAAAAAAAAAAAAAATTGTCAAAGGGTACACATGCTAGCCAGAAACAGAAAGATGGGGAGAAAGAACCCCACAATGGGGCTCAATCAAATCACAATCTTTTCTCCACTTCTCTATCCTGCCAGGGCCTTGGGCACGCACATGCACCCAATGTGTTTCTCAAGCTGCTAGGGCTGGGACTCAAACTGTGATTGGCTATGTGGGATCTGGCTCCCTTAACCAATAGCCTACTGAGCTGGACCCTTTAGATATGTAGCAACCTCCTACTTGTCACAACCATAAATGTCCCCTAGGGTGTAAAATCACCTTCAGCTGAGCAATACTGCCCTACAGTAGTAGCCAACCATATATTCTTTCAGACACATACTCTGGAGTTGATCCCTTATAAACCCTACATACTTCTGAAAAATAAGTTTCTCATTTGTCTTACAAACATCTCTTCTCACAAGAAATTTGGGCTATAAAAATCTCTGGGCCCCAAACCCAATGGCTCCGTTCTGTTTCTATGTTCAGAAAAATGTACACTCACATGTTGGCAAGATCTTTAATATTACCACCAGGTCGGCCACATTGTGTCCTGTAGTCATTGTTCCCTTTTTATATGATCCTACCTGTCGGACTTCTTCAATTTGCTATTGGAGAGAGATTACAAGAAAAAAATTTTGAAAGAACTCGGTTACAACACAGCTCAATTTGGAAGTAGCAGAGATGAAATCATATCCCCAAAACCACATGAAAACTAAATATACGTCATGGCTGTCTGATAACAATTATACTACCCTTACCCCCTGTATCAGTACTACAAAGGAATTCCACTGTGCTTTCCCATTTTAGCCTTGGATTTGGAAGATAGGCAACTGAAAAATTAAAGAAACAGGGTCCAAGGAAACTTTCACATAACCAACATTGCCCTTTCTTTGGACTGATCATCAAACACTTACCACTTCAAATGTTCCAGGAGCCACAATCAAATTATCAATCACATTGTTTATTTTTGTCACCAGAGAAAGGATAGAGGCCTGAAAAGCAAGAAACAAAAGTACCCTAAGGTGAAAATTATAAGCTACTTCTGAGTTTGAACTGTTTTCCCCTAATCCCTTCCACACAAGCTGACGATACCAACATGGGGCTTTAAAAACACTTTAAAAAACACAAAGCCTTCGGGCCTTGAATATACCATGAGAACAATATTTTTATTTCATAGACAGACTCTTCAATAACAATATGAGTGCACATGTAATTTGTTTATATATATATATTTTTTAATTTTTATTTATTTATTTATTTTTTTGAGAGGTTTTGGCTACAGGGTGCATGGCTCACCAGGAAGACAGAGACAGAGAGACAGAAAGGGAGAAATCACCCTCCAGGGGGGCTGGCCACCACGCCATCCCTCCTCGCAGGGTCCTGGGTAGGCATGTACATGCACCCAGTGTGAGTTTAAGCCACCAGGTTCGGGACTTGAAGTGCAGTCAACTACATGAGAGTCCAGCGACACAGCCATTACATCAACTGCCGTTCCTATATATATTTACTTAGCGCACTCTTAACCACCAATGAGAAATGAGGACTGTTAAACTCACTGTGCAGTTTAGGCTCTGACAACACTGTCTTTTTCTTTTTCTAAAGTTTGCCGAAAGGCACATGTCTCAGAGATGGAAAGCAAAAAAAGCAACCTCCATGGGCCACAGTCATAACTGCGATCCTTTCTCCTCCATTTGTCTCTCCTTTCAGGATTTTGGACACACACACACACATAAGCACCAGCATGTTTTTCAAGCTGCTGGGTCTGGGACTCAAACAATATAGTCACCTACGTGGGATGAAGTCACTTTTTTAAAAAAATTAATTATTAAAAGAGGTTTTTGCTATAGGGTGCACTCGCCAGAAAGACAGAAACAGACAGACAGAAAGCAAGAAACCACCCCGCAAAGGGGATGGCAACGCCGCAATCCTTTCTCCATTCTCCTTGGGATCTCAAGCACGCGCACAGCCTGAGTTTAAGCCACCAAGTCCAGGACTCAAACCGCGGTCAATTACATGGGAGTCCAGCAACAAAGCCATTATGACAACTGCTGGTCTCAGGATAAAGCCACTTTTAACCACCAAACCACATGCTGTCCCATGTCCCCCTTTTTCATTTTTTAAATGAAAGAGATTTCTGACAGGGTCTTGTTCATCACAATCCTTCCTGTCCCAGAACCAAGCCAGCTCTGATGACAAGTATATGCTGCTGCACCTGGTCTGTTTTTATTTATAGTTTGGGCTAAACACTGAACCTGTGCCTCCAATTCTTTTTTTTTTCTTTGAGAGGTTTCCACTATAGGGCGCGTGCGCTCACCAGACAGACAGAGAGAGACATAGAGACAGAAAGTGAGAAATCACCCCCCAGGGGGGATGGTCACACCACAATCCCTTCTCCTCCATTCTCCTCTCGGGATCTTGGGCACACGCACACGTGCGCCCGGCGTGAGTTTTAAGCCACCAGGTCCAGGACGCGAACCACAGTTGACTACGTGGGAGTCCAGCGACATAGCCATTACACTAAATGCTGGTTCCCTGTGCCTCCAATCCTGATAACACTATTATTAACCTTACCGATAGTTATTTAATTTTCTAACTATTTGGGGTAATCTCAGGAAGGAAGCCAAAAGAGCATACACATTACCTGTTCAGCAGAATTAGGGGCAAGGTCCTGATTCCTCTTCAGCAATGCCTCACTGAAAGAAGTCTCATCAGCTGCTGGCTTGACACGGGGGAAGGCCATTTCACACTAAAGCAGAAATAAACCACCACACACTATTTACTGAAAATGATACACGAGATTTCTTTTCCTGTTGCTACAACACAAAATTGTAAATAAAAAATTCTACAACACTGTTTTTACTATTAGAAGATGTTCAAACAAAGATACAAACTGGAAGAGACAGCCATAATTTAACCTCTCACTGTTTACATTAAGAGATAAGCCGGGCTAATGGTCCATGACAAAGATTAAAATAATTTTATTGCCAACAGCAGCCAAGGAATTATCTTCCCCATCCTGCTTAGATTGTTTTTGTATATAAAGCAACACACAGCTGACTCCAAATCCCAATTTCATTAACAAATTCCTTTTCCTACTCTAAACACCATTTGCCTTCATTAACAGATGCTAAGTTCCATTTCTACATCTATTGGTCAAGAGTGGCCAGGAAACGCATCTTAACCCAAAGTACTCACCAAATAGAAATCAAATGGGATATGTGGAACAAAGGGCCTGAACCTAAAAGAAGAAAAACAGTCCAAATTATTCACCACATAAAAATCAAGCAAGATGGGGGGCAGCCAGCAGGTGGTGTGATGGTTGGGGGTGCTGGACTCACACACTGCCAAGCATGGTTCATCCTGAACCTGGCAGCTTGCTTTCTCGCTTTCTCTCTTTCTTTCTCTCTCTCTCTCTCTCTCTCTCTCTCTCACACACACACACACACACACTGTCCCTCTCTGGTCAGATTAAAATAAAGTTCAATAAAATAATTTTTAAAAAAAAGTCGATGTACATTACACAGTTTGTTAGAATGAGCAACGCGGGAGAGGGGTAATTCTTGGCATAGTAGGGTCAAAGTAATTAATCAGGAGAACAGAAATGTTTCTAAACCAAAGCACTCCAAACTCCTATTGAGACAACAAACATAAATTAACAATACAGAAATGCTAAAAACTGGCACTCACCCTCCTCCTGGGCCTCCTCTGGAACCAAAGCGCCCACCACGACCTCGGCCTCTATCACCCCTAGAAATGCAGATTTTAATTTTTATTTCGACCGTACTGAAGGAATCTCCACTCCACTGGCGATATCAAGTTGGATACCTCCGTTGTCCTGAACTTTGCTATGAAAGCCAAGATACCTCAAACCCATTTCCACATCTCCCCATTCCAAGTAATTCCCAGCTCCACCTCCATGTCCTCCTTATTCCGGATAATTTAATCACAACCACACATCAAGGAAGGCCGGGACTCGAACACAACCCCTACAGGAGACAACCATAACCCTGAGTCACACCAATCCTAATATTCCAAAGACTAAAGAGACTGTTAACTTACTCGTTAACATTTACCAGGCATATCCTGTATGCCAAGCACTAGGCACTGAGGAGGAACGCGGCACGCTCCCGCCTCCTCAGTCCAGGCGAGGAGTCCGGGGCCTGGGTCACACCCTCAAGCTGGCCCTCAGACACCGAGGTGTGGGACCCGCCTGCGCCCCCGGCCCCACCCCCACCCCAGGCCCACGTTCTCCACTCCGCCGGCTTCCGACTCCCCACGCTACCGGACCAATTCTCAGGTCACTGACCAGCCCTCAGACTCACGGCGCTTTCACATCTGCCGACACCTTTAGGCCCACCTTCCCAAAGTTTTGGGTCGAACACCCGAACCTTTGTCTCACCGGTACTCTTACCTCATGGCGCCTAAAGTCCCGAACAATGGAGGCCACACCAACCGCCTTTTCCCTCTGAGGAGCAGACAACTGAAGAGGCGTCTTGCCGGCGTGTTCCAACAAAACCTGGTGCGATTGGTTCCCGCCTTGTTCCATCGCTTATGCCTATTGGTGGATTACTCTGGCAGACGGGGCTACCGAGCCAATGAAAAAAGCCTACAATATCAGGGCTCAGCCAATAAAGACAGGCTTGGCGGCAATGACAATTTTTTGACCAGACACTAGATGGCGCTGACTAGAATAGCCAGGACAATAACCTTAGGGAAACCTTCTATAAGAATTATGAAAAGCCATGAAACCGGATAGCAGAGTGGCGCAGCGGAAGCGTGCTGGGCCCATAACCCAGAGGTCGATGGATCGAAACCATCCTCTGCTATCAGGAGCTTTTTTTTTTTTTTTCCCCCAACCCTTTCCAGAGACATGAATTATATATTTATTTAGTATATATAAATGTCATCTAGTCTTTCCTTCCTCAAAAATGAAACCTTCAGTGGCTATATCTGTCTCCTGCAGGTGAAATAAAAGGAAATATGACTTGTGCAACCCTGAAAGCTACAAATGTAGAAAGGAGATAGGAGAAGCAGATGAGTGTACTGAATGAAAGCGAAAAACACAGGATGGTGAGATCCTACTAGAAAAATTAAGACAGTATCTGGAAAGAGAACTCAGAAAGAGAGAACAAGGAAAGTAGCAAGGAGAAAATGACACAACCCATCCCTGTTCCTCTTCTTTCCTCCAGTTTTCTCACCCCAGAAAATCTGATTTCCTCAACACTTTATGCCTTCACTAGCCACATAAACAGATATAATACAAATTTATCCCTACCACATATTTCCATTTATTTTAATTTTTAAAGAATTGTTTTATTTATTTACTTACTTACTTACTTACTTAAATTTGACTAGAGAGGGGCAGAGCAAGAGACAGAGAGAGAAAGTGAGGAAGCAAGCCAGCAGGTCTACACTTGAACCATGGTCAGCCATATGGGAATCCTGCACCCTTAACCACCATGCCACCTACCGGCCCCCATATTTCCCTTTTTTATTTTTAAAGAATTATTAAAATGGCTTCTTGTTTTCTGTCTCTCTCTGGTCCTCTGGCAAGTGCATGCACCCTATAAAAAAACTCTCTCAAAAAAGAGAAAAGAAAGAAAAGAAAGAAGAAAGAAAGAAAGAAAGAAAGAAAGAAAGAAAGAAAGAAAGAAAGAAAGAAAGAAAGAAAGAAAGAAAGAAAGAAAAAGAAAGAAAGAAAGAAAGAAAAGAAAGAAGAAAGAAGGAAAAGAAAAACAAAAAAAGAGGAACCAGCAGCTGATATATTGGCTATGACGCTGGACCCCCCATGTAGTAGACCACGGTTGGAGTCCCAGACCCGGTGGCTTAAACTCACGCCAGGCATGGGCGTGCCCAAGATTCTGAGAGGATAATGGAGAAGGAATTGTGTTGTGGCTATCCCCCCTGGGTGGTGGTTTTTCGCTTTCTGTTTCTCTGGCAAGCCTACTACACACTCTATAGCAAAAATCTCTCCAAAAGAAAAAAAAAAAAAAATCAATAAATAAATGTCCCTGGGGCCAGCAGGTGGCATGGTGGTTAATGACGCTGGACTCCCACATGGCTAGCCAGGGTTCAAGTCCTGGACCTGGAGGCTTCCTTTCTCACTTTCCCTCTCTCTCTCTCTTATTCTGTCTCTCTCTGGTCAAATTAAACTAAATAAATAAATAAAGTAAAATAAATAAATAAAAAATAAACATCTCTATTCCCACCCATCAAGAAACTTGGCATAGGGGCAAGCAGGTGGCATGATGGTTGAGGTGCTAGAGTTCTACATGGCAGACTATGGTTTGAGTCTCAGACATGGCCGCTTGCTTTCTCACTTTCTCTCTCTCTTTCTCATCTCTCTCGTGTTCTAGAACAAATTTTTTAAAAAAATAAATAAATAAAAAATAAACATCTCTATTCCCACCCATCAAGAAACTTGGCATAGGGGCAAGCAGGTGGCATGATGGTTGAGGTGCTAGAGTTCTACATGGCAGACTATGGTTTGAGTCTCAGACATGGCCGCTTGCTTTCTCACTTTCTCTCTCTCTTTCTCATCTCTCTCGTGTTCTAGAACAAATTTTTTAAAATAATAATTATAATAAATAAAATTAAATAAATAATTAAAAAAAGAAACTTGGCATAATTTAATGCTTAGCAGGCATCTTGCCGTACAAGGAAGACATAAAACATTCAAGGAATATTTAAAGCTTCGATATAAAAAATGTTGACCACAAACTGTGAAACTATTGTAATAAATAATGGCTCAACTTCTCTTTAAAACATTACAAAAACAGATGTACATATATATCCCCACCTCAGCAGTGACAGACCTGCTCAGCTCTCTCACTGTTCATCCCCAAACTCCATCACAGTGGCTGGCAATCCTGAAAATAAACATTTATTGAACAGAAAATACTAAAAACCCATTATCTTCTAATTAAATAACAGGAATAACAGGACTGAACTAATTTTTTTTAAAGAATAATTTTATTTAACTTTATTTATTCATTTTCTATTTGACTGGAGAGAGAAAGAAAGAGAGAAAGCAAGCTGTCAAGACCAGGACTCAAACCATGGTCAGTCATGTGGGAGTCCACCACCTTTAACCACCACATCACCTGCCAGCTGCAGAACTGAACTAATTTTGATTTTATGCAAACATGACTTTTTTTTTTTCTTCCAGATTTTTGCTATATGGCGCATGAGCATGCCAGAAAGACAGAGAGACACAAAGTGATGCGACCAACAGTTGGTGTAACAGCTAGGTCGCTGGATTCCCATGTAGTTGCCTACAGCTCGAGTCCTGGAACCAGTGGCTTAAACTCACGCCATGGGGACCATTAAGCAAAGGTCTGGAGAGTGTCCTTAGAAATTATTAACCTTGGGACCAGCAGTTAGCATAATGGCTATGTCGCTGGACTCCCATGTAGTTGACCACGGTTCGTGTCCCGGACCTGGTGGCTTAAAACTCACACCGGGCGCGCACGCGTTTGCGTGCATGCCCAAGGTCCCGAGAGGAGAAGGGATTGCGGCGTGGCCATCGCCCCTGAGGGGTGATTTCTTCTTGCTGTCTCTCTGTCTCTGTCTGTCTGGCAAGCACACGCGCCCTATAGCAAAAACCTCTACAAAAAAAAAAAAAGAAAAATTATTAACCTGCCTGATTCAGCTTCTGTAACTGCTTTTGCATAGGAACCCACTCCCTTTCCTCTCCACCTCTTCCTCATTTTCCATTGCAATCACCGTGTCAACCCAAAATTGATTGTGATCTTTGTCTTTAAAAGCACCCCTTTCCTTTCACTTGGGGCTGCAGAGTTTTTTGAGAGACACCAGTCCTTCTGTATGCCACTGGCTTAATCAATAAAGATTCCAATGATTTGGCCATGTCTAGATGTCCTCTTATTTCTTGCTGATTAGACTATAACACATTAAACACAGTGTGGGTGTCCCCAGGAGCTATTTGCTTCTTTCACTTTGATTCCTCTAAGACTACCTTCTCCTTTAGAAATAGTATCTGATAAACTTCCTCCTTTCTCTCCACATCAGTTGGCCTTGCCCTTGTTCAGCATCTTTTCCATGATCCTATTGGGGGCAACTTTCCTACTCATTCTTGAGAATGCCTTTAACTTGAGTATAGGAGCAGTAGCATCCTGGGGGTGTCATCTTCACTCTCTGGATGTTCTTTTTTTTTTTTTTTTGAGAGGTTTTTGCGATAGGCTGTGTGCGCTCGCCAGAAAGAGACAGAGAGAGACAGAAAGCAAGAAATCATCCCCCACGGGGGATGCAATCCCTTCTCCTCCATTCTCTGGAGATCTTGGGCATGCACGCACATGCGCCCGGTGTGAGTTTAAACTACTGGGTCTGGGACTTGAACCGCGGTCCACTACATGGGAGTCCAGCGACATAGCCATTACACTAACTGCTGGTCTCTCTGGATGTTCTTGAGGTAGATTCCATGCTCCGTTTGTAAGCGCCAGCAAAGCAGCTCAGTGACTGGGGTGGGCTTTGCACCAGGCCAGAGGGTGTCAACCAGAAGCCAGAGCAGCAACGCAGAGAACGGGGGGCGTGGCCAAGGTCCCTCCCGCGCAGACCATGGGGCTCAGCCGAGAGGCAGAACGGCTGTGCCTGCAGCTGAAGAGTTTGCAAGTGCCTGAGGTCTGGGTTCTGCTCAGTTACTTTTCTGGTTTCAGTTATCACAGATTAGTTTTGTCTGTTTTCGAACTTCACACATAAATGGACTCGTACTGAATGTATTCTTTGTTTTGTCTGGCTTCTTTCCCTTGACATGTTTAAGATTCTTTCACATTTTTATATTGATCAGCAATCCGTTTTTTTGTTTTGTTTTGTTTTGTTTTCTAACCAACTGAGTTTTATTTGTTATATAAACCACCTAACATCTTTCAGGTGAAAAAATACTAAATTTGAATAAAGATATTAGAAAATGAATTAGAGCCCAATAAAAATTAGCTTTGGGGAGGGAATATAATTCTACCCAAAAAGCAAAAATTTTTTTAAACCCCAGATTTTTTTTTTTTTTTTTTTTTTCAAATAATTATTTATTTAATTTTATTTATTCATTCATTTTAATTTGACCAAAAGGACATAGAGAGAAAGTGAGAAAGCAAGCCACCAGGTTCAGGATTTGAACCATCATCAGCCATGTGGGAGTATCCAGCACCTTAACCACCATACAACCTACTGGTCCCAGATTAGTTTATTTTTAACACCCTTCATGCCAGGAATTCATAAGGAATAGGTTCCAGAAGCTCAGGCTCCTTTCCATTGGTTCTCACAAAGTGTGCTTCTCAGGGGACCAGCAGGTGGCGTGATGGTTAAAGGCATTGGATTCCCACATGGCCAACTGTGGTTCAAGTCCTGGACCTGGTGGCTTGCTCTCTCACTTTCTCTCTCTCTCTCTATCTCTCTCTCTCTCTCTGTCTGATCAAACTGAAAAATAATAATACTAATAACAATAAAGTTAAATAAAAATAATTTTTAAAAAGTGTGCTTACAGGCTGGCCCTTTGAACCCAGGTACCTTT